CCAACATAAAGTTTCAATAGACATTATCAAAAGCTTTTTCAGCATCTAAAAAAATCAAGACCATCTGTTTCTCTGGGTGGGCTTCTAAGTATTCAGTTGGTAAGACTGATGTTTTCTGGCTGAGAGTTAGAGATAAATTGATCTATCTTCTGTTGTTTACCCTCTTTTAAGTTGATAGCCTCAGAGGCAGAGCGTCGATGCTTCCTGTTAGACATAAGGTCTAAATGTTCCTTCCCTTTGTTGTCAGTAGCCACCACTCCTTGCCACTGTAGCACTACAGATTCCTAAGTATTCAGTTACATTTCGTATAGTTCTTACATTGTTTCTGACCTGCTTGATCTTGATGAATTATTTGTAATAATACTCTTTTCAATTTTGTAGCCAAAATAGAGGCATAAATTTTATAATCCACATTTAATAATGAAATTGGCCTATAATTTTTAATTTCTTTCTCTTCTGCATTCTGTTTATGTATCAAAGTTATCAAAGTTGGTATTTCTTCTTCATTTATTATATTCTGTATTACAAGTTTTAAAGGTATTATCAGTTGATCTTCAAAGACTTGGTAGAATTCTGCCAGAAGGCCATCAGGACCTGGAGTCTTGCCTTTTTTTCTTTTTCTTTTGCTTTTTTTAATACTTCCGTTTATTCAGAAAAAGATATTGGATCATTTACATTTTTTCTTTGTTCTTCAGTAAATTTTTTACCATTGTGCTTTTTAAAAAAGTTTAATTTCCTCATGTGTGGCTTCTCTTTTTTGATATAACGTCTCATAGAAGGCTTCAATAATCTTTTTCAGGTCTTTAGGTAATTTTTTTTCTTTCCCTTCATCATCTCTCAAAATTTTTATATTTCTTTTTTTCTTTCCGTAATTTGTACGCTAGCCATCTAGTTGGTTTATTAGCATTTTCAGAATTTTGTTTTGCATACATAATTTTTTTGGCTATTTCTTGCATTAACAGACAATTAATTTGATGTTGTAGTAACTTTAATTTCACTCTTCTATCTTCAATTGAAGGGTCTTGTTTCATCTTTTCTTCCTGTTCCATGATTTGATTTATAATCCAAATAGTGTAAAGTATATTTAATTGACTTCATACAGTTGGTACAGTTCCAGATTAGAAATCCAAAGGGGGGGGGGCTTCAATAAAAACAAACATATTCCCAAGGGAAGCCACTTTTCCAAGTAGATCAACATTGTAATCCATTGGGGGGGGGTCTTCATAGTGTTCATACAGTTCCAAATTATAAATCCAGAAAGGACAAAACTTCAATAAAATAAAACTTATTCCAGGGGAAAGAAAGTAAATTTTCCAACTAGATCAGTATTGTAATCCACAGTCTAGTGTTGCAAAGCTATTAAATCTGTTAAGCAGTTTTGTTTTCAGACATCAAACCATTTCTCTTTCTTAGCCCACAAAATTATTTAAAAGCTCCTTTTCCAGTTCTCTTCAAAGCCGCTTCAAGGGAGGAGGGGGAAATCCCTTCACCCCTCTGCTCTTCTCAGGCTTTGTATTTAAAAAGTTTAAAGGGTTTAAAGTTTATATAGAAAACCTTCTAAGCTTGTCACATTCAGAGTACTCACAGTGTGGAAGTTGTTCTTTAGTTGCTTGTATGGGGTTTGTTGTTCTACCCTCATCCCGGCAGTCATGGCTCTGCTATTATGGCTGCCCACAGAAGCTCTCTCCTGGGTTGTGCTTCATGTTGACTCTGGACTCACCGCTGCTCATTTGCAGGTGATCTTGTATTCATTTTGGAAGAACCACAAACAACTATCACCCATCTTCTGAATTCTCTAAAAGAATATGGACAGATAGCAGGTCTGAAAATTAATTTTAAGAAAACAAAAAAACTAAAGACCAGATACAACAGTTACAAGAGATTTCTGGTACTGAAGTTCGGAAGAAAATAAAATACCTAGGGATAACCTTAACCAACAGATGCAGTTTGCTATTAAAAGACAACTATATGAAACTTCTGACTGAAATTAAAAAAGATTTGGAAAATTGGAAAAACAAGTATCTTTTATGGGAAGAATAGCTATTGTAAAAATGAATGGCTTACCTAGACTTCTTTTTTTATTCCAAACAATACCAATTTTAAGAAACCAACAGTATTTTAAAGAACTGGACAAATTGATCCGGCAGCTTGACTCTAGCTATACAAAAGATAAACAAACCAACTTCTATGAAAAGCCTACAGACCTGGACAAAACTCTATTCCATATAGATGAAAAATTTATAAAGGCATTTTTTTAATTTTATTTTTTATAAAGGCATTTTATACATTGTTAATAGACATGAAAATGCAAGACGAAGTAGTGAAATCTTCAATGATTAGATGGGCACAAAATATAGACCATAATATAGAATTAGACCAATGGGCAAATGAAAACTAATATAAAATTTACCAAAGCTATATCATACAAAGAAAATATATATTAAATGTTTTATAGGTGGCATAGAACACCAGATAGCTTAACAAAATATTATCCAAGTATGTCAAATGTATGCTGGAAGTGTAAACAAAATACTGACTGTTTTTTCATATGTGGTGGTCCTGTAATATAACTAAGAAATATTGGGCTTGGATACACAAGATATTACAAAAAATGTTAGAAACAACTGTACCATTTGTACCAGAATTGTTTTTATTAAATATTATTCCAGAAAGATTTTTAAAACTAGATGCTTACATGATTATACATGTGATAACTACGGCTAGGATTGTGTATGTAAAATGTTGGAGGAAAAGTCCCATCAAAAGAAGAAATAATCTACAAAAATTAGAAACGGCAGAGATGTACAAATTAACTTTACAATCACAAAATAAAAAAGAAATCTTTGGAAAAACATGGTCAAGATTTTATAAATGGATTGAGGTGTATCTGCAAAGATGCACAATATTACTATATACTGCATTTATCAAAATATTTTCTGGCGTATATAGGTTTAGGTGCATATAAGAAGGATATTATCTATGTAAAACAAAATTAGTTACAAACGAGTACATGCTCTTTGTTTGTTTAGTGCTAGTCTGTCTTGTATATTGTTTGTCTCTTTATTTGTAGAAAATTAATAAAAATCTATTTAAAAAAAACAAACCAGAAGTAGATGAACTGAAACGTGCAGTAAGAGCAAATAAAAACTATTTATTGTAAAGAGAGAGAGAGAGAGTCTGGAGTTAAGACCCTGGCATTGGGCTTCTCTTCGGGAAGCCCAATGGAGTTTGAGATCCTCTGAACCCCACTGAAAACCCGACGATCTGGCACAGCTACTTAGCAAGTTCCAGAGCCAACCGTTGCTGTGGCGCTGAAAACCGGAAGTCGCCATTTTTTCTCTTTTTGTGAGTGTGTGTGTGTGTGTGTGTGAGAGAGAGAGAGATGTTAGCGAGTATTCAAAACTGTAGCTGCCTACCTGCAATTCTGAGTGTTGTCTTTGTGGGGAAAAGCTTTACAGACTGTACAGCCGAGTGGTATAAATTGATCATTTATCATGGTCCTGTGCACTTTCTTTGAGAATGCAATGCATAAACAACTGTTCTCCTCCACAGGCTGCATGTACTTTAGGGCCTAAGCTCCCGACCTATACAATTATTGTGGGATTCTGAAATCGTCCGTAAGGGGAAACAAAGGACTTAACTAAACACATCATAAATGGTTTGTGAATAGTGGTTTTCAAATGGCGTGCTGTGGGGCCTTGTGCTTCCTCGGAAGGGATTCCTCAAGGAGAAACATTGGGTGAGGTTCCCAGAAGAGCAGCTTGCTAATTGTTGCTGACCGTCTTCTGCAAGGCACAGAATATGGGGGTGCTGAGGGCACTCCAGAGCATTCTCAGGTCCTTTTTTTAATTTATATTTATTTATTTATTTTGAGATTTATATCCCGCCCCATCCAGTATTCAGCTCGGGGCGGCTAACAGGCGGCAATGCCGAGGTTAAAATATACATATAACAACATAGTAAAAACAGATATCTATCATAAAATTGGTGCTATCATAGATTACATACAATTTACATCCAAGATGGACGACATCCCAAAACTGACGGCCAAGTTATTTCCTGCAGAAGCGCCAGGAAGAGTGTATCCCCCGCTCTGTTTGGGCGACATCTGCCCCTACTATGTGGGGCAGATGGTTGTAAAATCATTGGTGGTATAATGGCGGCGGCGGCTCCCCCTCAAAGGCCTGGCGGAAGAGCTCCGTCTTGCAGGCCCTGCGGAACTGCACTAGGTCCCGCAGGGCCCGAGTATCTTCCGGGAGCTCATTCCACCAGGTGGGAGCCGCCACCGAAAACGCCCTAGCCCTAGTTTGGGCCAGCTTTGCTTCCCGGGGGCCTGGAATTTCCAGGCGATGAAAATTCCCCGACCTCAGTGCTCTTGGGGGAACATGCGGGGAGAGGCGGTCCCTTAAGTAGGCCGGACCCAGGCCATTTAGGGCTATTAAAGGTGAGCACCAGCACTTTGAAACGAATCCGGTACGCTATAGGCAGCTAGTGCAGCGCTTGCAGCACCGGCCGGATGTGGTCCCGCCTGGAGAGGCCCATCAACAGCCTAGCTGCAGCATTCTGCACCAGCTGCAGCTTCCGGATTTTATTTTTGCCACCAAGTTGCAGATGACTTACGGTGTCCTAAGGTTTTCAAGGCAAGAGACATTCAGAGTTGGTTTGCCATTGCTTGCCTCTGCATTGTGACCCTGGCATTCCTTGGAGGTCTCCCATCCGAATTCTAGCCAGGGTTGACCCTGCTTAGCTTCTGAGATCTGATGAGATCAGGCCAGCCTGGGCTATCCAGGTCAGGGCTCTCAGATCCTGGGGAAGCCAAAAAGAGTTGGGGAGCAGCTTGAGTGATCTAAGCAGGTCCCATAACCCACTGCAAAATGCAAGGACACTAGATCACCATTCTGGAGTTCCAAGGTGGGCGGGCCAATATGGAACGGGGTCTCTGAAAGTAGCCCTGTTGTTGCTGTTTTTTTTTTAAGGGATGTTTTGTCTCTTCTTTACAGAGCGGTGCTTAGAGGATCACGAACTTGTTGTTCAAGTTGAATCCATGATGGGAAGTGAAAGTAAATTTTTATTCAGGAAGAATTATGCAAAATATGAATTTTTTAAAAATCCTGTGGTAAGTATTGCATGTCCTCATGTAAATTCACTCTGTGTGTGTGTGTATGTATTTGTCCAGGACAACAGATTTAGAGTTTGCACACAATTAAAATCCATCTTGGCGTTAAAGGATAAAGTTTGGTGTCGTGGTTAAGTGCGCAGGCTCTAATCCGGGAGAACCGGGTTCAATTCCCCACTCCTCCACTTGCAGCCGCTGGATGACCTTGGGCAAGCCATAGTTCTGGCACAGTTGTTCTTGAAAAAGAGCAGGCCAAGAAAGAGCTCTCTCAGCCCCAGCTACCTCACAGGGTGTCTGTTGTGGGGAGGGGAAGGGAAAGGAGTTTGTAAGCTGCTCTGAGACTCCGAGTGAAGGGTGAGGTATACATCCAATCTCCTCCTCCTCCTCCTCTTCTTCTTCCTCTTCCTCTTCTTCTACTTCCTCCTCCCTCCTCCTCCTCCTCCTCTTCTTATTAATAATAACCCTAAATCAATATGGAGCTCCTCATTCCCTGAGTCCCTCTCCCTCCCAAGGCCTCAGAATTAGAGTTGCCAGTTCTGGGTTGGGGAAAGACCTGGGGTTTTGGGGGTGGTGCCTGGGGGAGGGGGAGGGCAGGAGCCTCAGTGTGATCCGATGCTGTAGAGTCCATCCTCCAAAGCAGCCATTTTCTCCAGGTTATGTCAGCTGTGCTGCCATGGGGATTGGGATGGTCAGACAGCGTCAGTGTAATTGCTCTTGCATTCCTTTCTGTGCTTCGTGCTGAAACGCTTATCTGTAAAGACGTGCAGGTGGGAGTTGTGGTGTCTGCCTTTTCCAGGGAGCCGTGGGAGAATACGAGTTCCCAGCTTTGGCTAGAAACAGTTTGCAAGCTTTATCCTGCGCGCGGGAGGGTGCCTAATTGGCCAGCGCAGTGGGGGGGGGGAGTGCATACGAATACCCTATATCTTATTATGTCCAAGGGGCAACTGCCATTTTTAACAGTGACTATCACACCAACCAAGTCATCTTAAGTTACAATGTAATTATAGACTCTAAGACTTCTACCCTGTGTCTGTAAGGTTTTTGTTGAGATTTATGATTTAAGTTCACCAAGATAATTTTGCATCCAATTATAAAATCTTGCTCATTTTCTTTCAAAGTTCCCCTTCTTGTTTTTTGTGTAATTGTAAAGTTAATTTGTCCATTTCTGCTGCATCTAACAGCCAGAAAATTAGTTCTTCCTTTGTCGGTGTCTTCTTTTTCCTCAGATCATTGCCCCCCCCCCCCTGCACTGGTTATAGTAAGGGGTCTGACTCTGCCCACAAGACTCCAGCTTTTCAATATGGTTGTAGCATCATGGAATGAATATACAGGAAAGCCATTCCCGTGGCATTTCCATAAAATGTTGTTGTTGTTTTTTAAAGGGATCAGATGCTCCCTAATGCCAAACTATCTCTCCCCCCCCCTCCCCCGGTCCCTCCACAGAACTTTTTTCCGGAGCAGATGGTTGCTTGGTGTCAGCAGTCCAATGGTTGTATTCCACAGTCACAACTTTTGCAGGTATTGTAAGCATGCATGTTACAGCCGAGCTTGGCGTCTCTCCCATGTGAAGCAAAGGACGTGATACGTGATTCTGAATAGATCTGTGGGGTGGGGAGAGGGGATACTTTTTGAAGACCGGTGGCTACTAAAGAAATGCCGTACGAGTCTTTAAATGAATCTTGGCCCTTGTATTGAAAGTCTGTTGGGCGCGAAGAGGTAGGTGCATTCTACCATTGCACGTTTCTGGCTTCTGTTATAAAGAAAGGATAATAAAAATCAGGTGATGGGAAAGCCGTCGGTTCTTCTAGAGCAGTGGTTCTCAACCTGTGGGTCGCGACCCCTTAGGGGGTCAAACGACCTAAGGGTCGCTTAAGACCATCGGAAAATTTGTAACAATGAAAATACATCCTGCATATCAGATATTTACATTACGATTCATAACAGTAGCAAAATTACAGTTATGAAGTAGCAACGAAAATAATTTTATGGTTGGGGGTCACCACAGCATGAGGAACTGTATTAAAGGGTCGCAGCATTAGGAAGGTTGAGAACCGCGGTTCTAGAGGCTGGCAAACCCATATATTTTAATAGTGTGTCTCTCTGGCTCAAAGACAGAGCATCTGCTTGGCGTGCAGAAGGTCCCAGGTTTAATCTCCAGCGTCTCCATTTAAAGGGATCTGTTGGTAAGTGGTGAAAGACCTCAGCCTGAGACCATGGAGAGTCACTGCCAGTCTGAGTATTGACCCTGATGGACCAGTGGCACTGACCTTGATGAACCAATGGCCTGAATTCATTGTGTGACCATAACAAAGGTTTGGGGAAGGGCCATGGCTCGGTGGAAGAGGTCCCAGGTTCAATCCCCAGCATCTCCAGTTAAAAGAATGAGGCAGTAGTTGATGTGAATGACCTCTGCCTGCGACCCTGGAACACCACTGCCAGTCTCAGTAGATAGGAAGGCAGCTTCCTGTGTGTTTCCTGTGTATGTGTGTTTCCAGGTTTCCTGAGGCTCGGGCCTTCAGGACTTGGTAAAGGAAAGGGACCTTCCAGTTGTGCCTTTTGAAGAAGAGGATGGAGCTTGGTGACAACACAAAGAGAGAGAGAGAGAGAGAGAGAGAGAGAGAGAGAGAGAGAGAGAGAGAGAGATCTCACACCGTTCTTACAAACTGACCTTCAGGGCAGGAGTATTCCCCTCTTTTCCTGTGTGTTTCCAAAAAAAATTTTTTTTAACTTTTAATCTTTATTTGATACAAGCAACTACATATAATGTCAGAAATATACCCTGTTTCCCCGAAAATAAGACCTACCCCAAAAATGAGCCCTAGCAGTATTTCTATGCATTTGTGGTATAAGCCTGTGTCTTCTTGAGAAAAAATAAATACAAGACAGTGTCTTATTTTCGGGGAAACATGGTAGCTTAACTGGAACATGTGATAAAACTGACATAACAGACAGTGTAGATACGATATTAACAAAAAAAACCCCCAGTTTGATTAAAAAAACTTAATATGAAACATCTCATGAAATGCATCAATACAGCAGGTTTATAGTATCCAAAATCAGTCCCCTACAATTAAATGAAATTACATTTAAATCATTCACTTTTTTGTTTAAAATCAAAGTGCAATCAAGAATAGAGAAGAACTCATTGTTTCCAAAATTCGATGGATGTTCTTTTGTGTGCTTTGTCGTGGAGTGCGCTACCTGGCGTCCCCAGGTCACCGTTGAATTCAATAATCCAATTGCACCCTGGTGAAGTCCCACTGCAGTCACCACACAGACTCAGTTTTAGTGGTTAACTATGTACAGTGAAGTTTATTTACAGAACACAGCTCTCACCGACAAAATGCTTCGCCAGACAGTCAACATCCAAATCAGCACACAATGTATAGAACACACATAGTTCTATACATTGACTAACCAATCATATTGCTGCTGAGTCACTCAGATAAGAGATCAGCATTGCACCAGCCAGAACTGGTTTGCTCTGGTCTCCTGGACTGACAGTCATTTGACACCTGTCACAATAGATTGGCATGATCTATTTACACAGTTACACATGCATCACACATGCTGAATACTTATGCATTCCAACATGCTTCTGTTCGTGTTGTAGTCTTGGCTGCACCAGGGTCCTGTGTTTATGATCTGCTGTGGAGATGTGGAATATAGTTGGAGGCAGGGCTCTAGTCGGGGGGGAGCTCTCAGGTACGGAGCTCCGGAAGAGAACCTCTAGGGGGCGGGGCGGTCACGTGGTGAAGCCCCGCCCCCCTCTTTACCCCGCCCTCTGCTTCGATCCTCATTCCGTTTGGGAATGAGGATGAAGCAGGAGGGTAAGTAGCCGGGCCTTCTGACACACTTCCGGTGATGTCAGGGGGTGTGGCCTTCTGTCACTTCTGGTGATGTCAGGGGGCGTGGCATATGCAAATAAGTTATGCTAATGAGTTATGCTAATGAGCTCCGGCAGCTCTTTTTCTACAACAAGACCCCTGGTTGGAGGTTACAAGTGAGATTGTCCTCCTGTCATCTGCGTATGTTTATGAGTGAGAAAACTGTGGATTGATCAAACTGGAGTTAACAGTGATGTAAACAAGTCCCAACAAACTGGGGTTTCTTAGCTGACAGCTGAAGGCGGACAGCTTCACAGGGAAGATGGCCTGCTCTTTGCTCCCCAGCAGGAAGGACAAGTTTCAGATACAACTTGAGTTCATACACGATCTGGGACTTGTCATTTACAACTGGTCGACTCACCACAGTGACCATGTTGTCTGAACGGAACCAGACTCTTTGGGAGGCACTTCCACACATTACGTTTTGGGCATTCACCACAAAGAAAAAGTAGTGTGTGAGTGCAGTGAAAAGATATGGTTCCCGGCAGGGCTATTTTTGGGCAGGAACGCACAGGAACGGAGTTCCGGCTGGCTCCCAAGTTGGCCACGCCCAGCAGGAACTCATTAGCATAATAAGCCACACCCAACAGCAGAAACTCATTAGGATTGGCTACATTAGGTGTGTGTGGCCTAACATGCAAAGGAGTTCCTGCTACAAAAAAGCCCTGGGTTTTGACAAGAAACAAGGTAAACAGAATAAGAAGCAAAAGGTGGGTGTGGCTGGATAACCACACTTCTGATAACATGGGGGTGCAGCCTAATGTGCTAATGAGCTGTGCTGTCAGGGGTGTGGCCCAATATGCTAATGAGTTCCTGCTGTTGGGTGTGGCCTATTATGCTAATGAGTTCCTGCTGGGCTTTTTCTACAAAAAGAGCCCTGGATCACTTCTCGGGGTTCAGTGACTAGCCAGAACCCACAGTTGGCCCTTGGTATCAAACCCTAGTAGGCGCAGGCCTTATTTCAGCCCACTATCTGTACAAATCCTGTCCTTTAGGTTGCGATGGCTGTCCTTGAACCACTTCTTATCCTATTTGTAGTAATCAGTTTCTGGGAGTGAGGGGGGATTTGGTCAGGAAACTCCACTTTTATGTTAGATTATTTTGACTCCATTTCATGAGGTGGTTTGCTGATAATTTGGGGAATCCTCACCAAGCCAAACGCTGTCTGATGATTGCTGTTGCATCCATGTGTTTACTGTAATTGTAGAATTCAGTGTCTTCATTTAATCTCCAACAGAATTTTTTAAACTCCAGTAGCTGTCCTGAAATTCAGGGGTTCTTGCATGTGAAAGAACTGGGGAGGAAGTCGTGGAAGAAGCTGTATGTTTGTCTGAGGAGATCTGGACTCTATTGCTCTACGAAAGGATCTTCAAAGGTAATTTTATTTAGGTTAATTAATACAGGGTGTGTGTTTTTAGACTTATGAGCCGCCACTGCTTATTTGGGAGCTCTTCGGGCTGGGCCAGGGCACAATCTAATGGGAAGTTCTCCTCTTCCAGTGAAACAAAAAAATGAGTACATTGGGCTGGATCCGACCTTCTGTCAGGAGATGCTGCTTTCTGCTGGGGAGGGGCTGTGACTCAGTGGCAGGGCTTCTGCTTGGCATGCAAAAAGTCCCAGGTTCAGCCCTCGGCATCTCCAGTTGGAAGGATGAAGTAGACCAAGGGTCTTACTCAGTAAAGGCAGGTTCATTTAGGGAGAAGACCATAGTTTAGTGGCAGAGCACCTGCTTGGCAGGCAGAAGGTCCCAGGTTCAGTCCTCAGCATCTCCATTTGAAACGATGAGGTCCCAGGCTCAATCCTCGGCATCTCCATTTGAAAGGATGAGGTCCCAGCAGGTTCAGTCCTCGGCCTCTCCAGTTGAGAGGATGAGGTCCCAGCAGGTTCAATCCTTTGCATCTCCATTTGAAAGGTTGAGGTCCCAGCAGGTTCAGTCCTCGGCCTCTCCAGTTGGGAGGATGAGGTCCCAGCAGGTTCAATCCTTTGCATCTCCATTTGAAAGGTTGAGGTCCCAGCAGGTTCAGTCCTCGGCCTCTCCAGTTGAGAGGATGAGGTCCCAGCAGGTTCAATCCTTTGCATCTCCATTTGAAAGGTTGAGGTCCCAGCAGGTTCAGTCCTCGGCCTCTCCAGTTGGGAGGATGAGGTCCCAGCAGGTTCAATCCTTTGCATCTCCATTTGAAAGGTTGAGGTCCCAGCAGGTTCAGTCCTCGGCCTCTCCAGTTGAAAGGATGAGGTCCCAGGTTCAATCCTCGGCATCTCCATTTGAAAGGTTGAGGTCCCAGCAGGTTCAGTCCTCGGCCTCTCCAGTTGAAAGAATGAGGTCCCAGGTTCAATCCTCAGCATCTCCATTTGAAAGGTTGAGGTCCCAGCAGGTTCAGTCCTCGGCCTCTCCAGTTGAAAGGATGAGGTCCCAGGTTCAATCCTTTGCATCTCCATTTGAAAGGTTGAGGTCCCAGCAGGTTCAGTCCTTGGCCTCTCCAGTTGAAAGGATGAGGTCCCAGGTTCAATCCTCGGCATCTCCATTTGAAAGGTTGAGGTCCCAGCAGGTTCAGTCCTTGGCCTCTCCAGTTGAAAGGATGAGGTCCCAGGTTCAATCCTCGGCATCTCCATTTGAAAGGTTGAGGTCCCAGCAGGTTCAGTCCTTGGCCTCTCCAGTTGAAAGGATGAGGTCCCAGGTTCAATCCTCGGCATCTCCATTTGAAAGGTTGAGGTCCCAGCAGGTTCAGTCCTTGGCCTCTCCAGTTGAAAGGATGAGGTCCCAGGTTCAATCCTCGGCATCTCCATTTGAAAGGTTGAGGTCCCAGCAGGTTCAGTCCTTGGCCTCTCCAGTTGAAAGGATGAGGTCCCAGGTTCAATCCTCGGCATCTCCATTTGAAAGGTTGAGGTCCCAGCAGGTTCAGTCCTTGGCCTCTCCAGTTGAAAGGATGAGGTCCCAGGTTCAATCCTCGGCATCTCCATTTGAAAGGTTGAGGTCCCAGCAGGTTCAGTCCTTGGCCTCTCCAGTTGAAAGGATGAGGTAGACGAAGACTCAGTAGAAGAGAGCCTCATTTAGGGAAGGGGCTGTGGCTTAGTGGTAGAGTGCCTGCTTGGTGTGCAGAATGCTCTAGGTTCAACCTGGACATCTCCAGTTAAAAGGATCAGTTAGTAGGTGATGTGAAAGACCTGTACCTAAGACCCCAGAGAGCTGCTGCCAGTCTGTGTGGGGAATACCGATCCTAATGGACAAATGGTCATATTCAGTATAAGGTGGCTTCGTGCTCATTTATTTTCCAGCAACCCTTTCAACCTTAGTAAAATTGACTCTTGGAGTTGCGGGACCCCAAAGGCTAAGAGCCACGAAGGGCTGGAGAGCTGCTGTGGGAACGGGGATGAAATTGCCCTTCCTGTTTCTTCTTATCCCTGACTGCAGAAATCAGCTTTCCCGGAGTCAGGAGTGGCATATGGCAAAGATCTTGTGCTCATAGCTCGTGTAATCCAGCCTGTTAAATGGATTTGATGTGTGGACACCTGGTTGGTAATACAATACAGTCAAAATTAAAACTTTTTTCAGATAGAAAGATCTTTGCAGTTTGCAGAGTGCCAGCTAAACAGCTTTCCCAAGGAAAGGTATTCCTCAGCAGAGACTAGCCCATGCCGAGCTGCATTCCCGAAGGGTTAGAAATTAGATGTGCCGTGAGTGAGATTCCTATAGCAGAAGTGCTTCTCTTAGGTGAGCCCAGGGTAAACTGGGTAGGTCGGGTTTGGGAAGTGTTGATTATGTGCCTAGCATCAGCAACTTGATACCTATTTGGCGGGGAATTACTGTATATAAAGTATAAGGTCGGTTTGTTCAGGTCTATCTTGATGGGTTTGTTTTCTTTTCTTTTATGGCCTATATGTTGGATGATTTCATACTTCCCAACCTGTGGTTCGGGGTGCAAAAGTGGGTCACGAAGCCTCTGAAAGTGGGTCGCAGGCCAGCCCTCCCTAATGGTCACCCCTTCCCTTTCTGTTGCTCTCTTTTGTATCTTGGAAAACAAGATCTGACCCTGGAAACAGTATCTTCCATGTCATACGATAGTTGGTATTTTTTCTTCATTGTATACATGTTGATCAAGTGAAACATGTCCTGGTAGTGGATAGTAGAGTCCACTACCAGGACATGTTTCACTTGATCAACATGTATACAATGAAGAAAAAAAACCCAGTATGTGCCAGCTGCACTTAAAGCCTTCAATGCTAAAACTGGAGGTCAGTTACTGTATGGGGTACCCCTCTGGATTGACTCAATGGACATTTCAGTTGAACGAGTCCACTCTACCTTTTTGCGAAAGATCATGGGGGTACCTATGTGTGTTCCATATGCTGCTTTGTGTTTGGAGTGTGGTCAGAACTTGCTGGCTACTAAAGCATGGATCCACATGATTAAATTTTGGTTACGACTCCGTTTTAACTCTGACCCCTTCAGTTATATGTACCAACTACATTCGGAATCTGATAATTCCAGATGGCTATCTTACATCGAAGCCAAAATAAGTTCCCTGAATTTGTCCCTAGAATCCTTATATATGCTTTCTGAATCTGAGGCCTTTTTAAAAAATAAAATCTAGTTTATTGGGATCAGAGCTACAAACTCTTTATAGCCTGGCTAACAGAACCTGTTCTCCCTTACATCTGGGGATTATTCCTAATACAAATCTTCCAGCAGTATACCTCTATCAACTCATAGCTCCAAATTTGCGTAGAGCCATATCCTTGGCTAGATTTAATGTTCTTCCTTCAGCTATTTTATCTGGCAGATTCCAAGGGATTCCCTATCCTAGCAGGTGCTGTCCTTGTAGGAAGGATTGTGTTGAAACTGTTGCCCATGTTCTCTTCCAGTGCCCTCTCTATTTGGCGTCCCGTCGGGATCTTCTATATCCCATATTAGGCCATTTTTTTGAGTCCCCTGATGATTTTAAGCTTCTTTTCTTTCTCGATAACACAGACACAGAAATAACTGAAATAGCAGCAAAGTTTCTCTGCAGTGCCATGGCCCCACGGCCTGATAAATGATATGATGAATTAGGTTTTTCTTTATGATGATACTCTGTGATGTTACTCAGCAATTTTAATTTGACTCTGTGTGTACTTAGATTACTGTATTTTTATTTATATGCCAATAAAAGGCTTTGGATTGGATTGGGATAGTAGAGTGCTCTTCTTAGACTCTTAGGGGGGATTAGAGGGAGTAAAAGATCACGCAAAGTGATGGTATCGCTTTACCATCACTTGTTAGACCTCAACTAGAGCATTGTGTTCAGTTTTGGGCACCACAATTTAAGAAGGACATAGACAAGCTGGAATGTGTCCAGATGGTGAAGGGTCTGGAGACCAAGCCCTGTGAGGAAAGGTTGAAGGAGCTGGGTATGTTTAGCCCGGAGAGGAGACGACTGGGAAGTGATATGATAACCATCTTCAAGTACTTGAAGGGCTGTCATATAGAGGATGGTGTGGAGTTGTTTTCTGTTGTCCCAGAAGGTTGGATCAGAACCAGTGGGTTGAAATTAAATCAAAAGAGTTTTTGGCTAAACATTAGTCAGTGGAACAGGCTTCCTCGGGAGGTGGTGGGCTCTCCTTCTTTGGAGGTTTTCAAACAGAGGCTGGATGGCCATCTGACAGCAATGCAGATTCTGTGAACTTAGGCAGATCGTGAGAGGGAGGGGCAGGAAGGGTTGCCTCAGTGCTTAGTTCTCGTGGCCCTTTCTTACATGCCCAGGGAAATGCTGATCGCCACTTTGGGGTCAGGAGGCAATTTTTCTCCAGGCCAGTTTGGCTGGAGGTCTGTCAGCTATGCTGCCATGGGGGTTGGGATGGTCAGACAGCGTCAGTGTAATTGCTCTTGCATTCCTTTCTGTGCTTCGTGCTGAAATGCTTATCTATAAAGACGTGCAGGTGGGAGTTGTGGTGTCTGCCTTTTCCAGGGAGCTGCGGGAGAATACGAGTTCCCAGCTTCGGCTAGCAACAGTTTGCAAGCTTTATCCCGCGCACGGGAGGGTGCCTAATTGGCCAGCGCAGTGGGGGGGGTGCATACGAATACCCTATATCTTATTATGTCCAAGGGGCAACTGCCATTCTTAACAGTGACCATGTTAATGCATCTATAGCTCTTCAATAAATGTATTACCTTTCCTGAAAGCGTGTACTATGTTGTTGGCTGTGGGTTCTGACAAGGTCCTGGAGGTCTTTTGTCATCTTCTGGGCATGGAACAGGGGTCACTGGCAATGTTCCCCCTAAGCTGTGGAAAAGTTTGTTCTGGAGCCCCATCCTTCCTGAGCTAAGACAAAAATTTGTGAGCCGGAGGCTAAAAAACTGTGAGCTAGCTCACACTAACTCAGCTTAGAGGGAACACTGGTCACTGGGTGTGTGTGTGTGGGGGGGAGGCCTTTGTGAATTTCCTGTGTTGTGCAGGGGGTTGGACTAGATGACTCTGGAGGTCCCATCCAACGCTATGATTCTAAGGTGGTCAAAGGCTGGAATGTAAGCTCCATATGCAAAGGTTGTGTATGTTGGAATGTCCCTTGCCTGGGGTTCACAGTGGGGGGCATCTGCACCCTTTGTGCGATGTCTGTTGGTTTCTCAGAAACATCTGCTAAGCCCCTGTAGATAGTGGAACGCTGAACTAGAAGGGTGCCAAGGTCACGGTTTGCCTCGGGTGCCAGAAAACCTCGGGCCAGCCCCGGATGGGTCACCCTGCCAAGTAAATTTGGACCTGCAGGTCACCGTACCAAACAGGTCGGAAAGTGCTGGGATGATCTAATAGTTCAGGTCCTTGCATAATTTTAAGCCGTTGGAATGGAACCATTTATAATGTACTTTTACTGCCCTCTTGTGTTCGCCTTTTCTTTTCTTTTTTTAAACTTCTGGAGACTCATACGTGATGAACTGGACATGCTTTTCACGGGTTGAGGTTTGTCTTTTAATCGCTGTCAAACATTCCCACAGGAACCAAGGCACCTGCAGCTGTTAGCTGACCTCGAAGACAGCAATATCTTCTCATTGATAGCCGGCAAGAAGATGTACAGTGCTCCAACGGATTATGGGTTTTGCATAAAGGTAATTCTTTACGTATGGGGAGGCGTTCATCCCAAAGCAGATGTGATCAAAGCTGGAAAAGCACTGTCGTTTATTTATTTATCTATCTATTTATTTAATTTGTACCCTGCCCTCCCCACCTCGGCAGGCTCAGGGCGGCTTACAGGTTATATATATAAAAACGGGGTTCGTTACCTGCAGGAGCAGAGCTCCGGCAGTAAAGAGCCCAGGGGGCGGGCACCTGCAACAAGCCCCACCCCCTGCTCCCAGCAGCCCTCAGTCAGAGCAAGAAGCAGCCAGGTAAGCTGCAGAGCCCCCCCCTACCCCCCGGGCCCCTGGTCCAAAACAGTCCAGTGGCACCTTTAAGACCAAGTTTTATTCAGGTACAAGCTCTCCCTCCTCTGTGAGGACAGATCTGCACGTTCCCCCGCCCCCAATAGCTAGCAATCCAAAACAGTCCAGTGGCGCCTTTAAGACCAAGTTTTGTTCAGGTACAAGCTCTCCCTCCTCTGCGAGGACAGATCTGCACGTTCCCCCGCCCACAATAGCTAGCAATCCAAAACAGTCCAGTGGAGCCTGAGCGGTGGGTGTTGCCTTCTGACACACTTCCGGTGATGTCAGGGGGTGTGGCATATGCAAATGAGTTATGCTAATGAGTCATGCTAATGAGCTTCTGCACCTCTTTTTCTACTAAAGGACCCCTGTATAAAAACAACAAATGAGTTAAAAAACACAGCATTTAAATAAGTAAAAAAAAACATATAAAATCATGTGCCAGTAACAGATGTCAAAGTACTAAAAAAGGGTGGCGGTGTACTCTCAGCATCCAGACGGTGAGCCGCTACTGGAGTCTGGGATCCTGCCAAGCTGTTGGACATTAAATTAAATCGGTGCTGATTAATATTACAACTCCATATGGGGGGGGGTCTCATGTACTTTGTAAGAAATGTAAAATTAAAGTTTGAGTTATACCCTGGATACGTTGCCGCCATCCTTGAGGTCAGATCGGGAAAGGTGATCCAAAGTCTCCACGATTTATTTATTTAATTCACACCCCGCCCCAGTGTTCCCTCTAAGCTGAGTTAGTGCGAGCTGGCTCACAGTTTTGTAGCCTCCGGCTCACACATTTTTGTCTTAGCTCAGGAAGGAGGGCTCCAAAGCAAACGAATGTATGCAGTAGCCAAAGCACTTGTTCACGACTTTAATGCCAGTAGCTCACAAAGTAGAACTTTTGCTCACAAGACTCCACAGCTTAGAGGGAACATTGCCCCGCCCTATCCCACAAGCGGGCTCAGGGCGGCTTACAACATAAAGCCCATAATCCATAAAAACAATACAACCATAAAACAATAGATGGCGCGATAGGCAGTAACAAAAACCCATGCCTCGTACGAGACAGAAATGGCTACCCCAGGAAACTCCAGTGCCCGAGTAGCAGCCAAAGCAGCAGGGCACTGGGGAAGGGCCATGAACAGGGGAAGCCAGAATGGCCGAATGTCCACTGCCTCACCCAAAGGCCCGGCGGAACTGCTCCGTTTTACAGGCCCTGCGGAACTGTAGTAAGTCCTGCAGGACCCTGATCCCGAGTGGGATCGTGTTCCACCAGGTTGGGGCAAGGGCCGAAAGAGCCCTCGGCCTGGATGAGGCTTAGTGGACGTCCCTTGGGTTGCGGATCACCAGGAGGCGCTGGTCGGAGGAGTGTAGAGCTTTCCAGGGCTCATACGGAGAGAGGTGGTTGGGGAGGTGTGATGGCCCCAGGCCACCATAGGGATTTAAACCTTGAACCGGATCCGGTATTCGAGCGGCAGCCAGTGCAGTTGGCACAACACCAGCTGAACGCACGCCTGCAGAGGCGTCACCGTCCGCAGGCGTGCCGCCGCATTCCGCACTAGTTGCAGTTTCTGGATCAGGCTCAAGGGTAGCTCCGCATAGAGCGAGTTACAGTAATCCAACCTAGGAACTACTGTTGCATGGATCTCTGAAGCTGAGTCCGGGTGTGTGTGTGTGAGATGGGGAACCTGTTGCCTGACTAGCCAAAGGTGATACAAGGTCGATCTGGTGGCCAAAGTGACCCTGGGCCTCCATAGAGGATTGGAACCAAGGTCTTTGGTCCCCGGTCAGGCTTCCGTGGCTGGCGTCAACACAACCCACCATGTGCTCTTGCGTCATGACAGCTCCTCCCACTGCACTTCTGTATGGCGCATTGTGGAAGCATGGTCTGTCTGCAAGGAAATGTGGAAGAGAGCCCAAGCGTGGCTCTTCATTGTGGTCTTTTCCTCCCAAACTGTGGCATAATGTTCTGTGGTGGTCTTCCCACGCAACGGGTCCCGGGCAATCATTTTGAAAAGGGGAAACCTCTTGGGGCCTTCATCAAGTGACAGGAACAGAAATACCCGGGTGGGATTTTTGCTCTTGCCCAGTAAGCACGGAGAGCAGGGGCAGATCGGCTGTTGAGGCCACTGGGAGCGAGCGGATGGCCTGGAGGGACACAGACCATGCCAGGGTTGTTCTGGCCCCAAGTGAGTGGCAGCCGTCCTCCTCACATGTGCTGTCTCTGTGAGCTGGTAGCCCGGGCGCCACGCAGGGCAGGCAAGGAGACACACAGGCTTGCTAAGCCCTGTGCTGGGTGAGGAAGAAGGTGCGGGACCGACACGGGCAGGGCTTTCTCCTTCCTTCCCTCCTTTGGAGAGTAGGGGTTAGGACAGGGTGGGGCCGGGCCCTTTTCCTGGGCCATTTGCCCTTCCCCGTCCACCCCTGGTGGAAAGCCGGTGCGGAAGACCGTGAGCCAAGAAGTCC